GCACAGTCATGCCGCTGCAATGTCTGTTGCGTGGGTGGATACATGCTTGCTCAGGCATGTGACTATTATGATTTGGGAAAGGAAACTTCTGGTGTTTGAAGTGAGTAAGAAGTTTCACTAGTAGTAAAATCACAAAACATTCTTACTTCTACTTATGAGTTTGACTTAAATGGAAATTTTTTTTTAGCATCATTTTCAATGTCAAGAATTTTTGTTTGTATTTTGTTTTGTATTTATTTGCATGGATGCATATTCTAATGTTATGTGTATTAAAACTTAACATTTCTGCTGCTGTTTTAATTACCCCCTTTTAACTTTATTGAGGAATAATTTATGTACAATTAACTGTATGCATTTAAAATATGCAATTTGATGAGTTTTGACTGTTGTATACACCTGTGAATCATTACCATAAATGACATACAAAACGTTTTCATCATTTCCAAAATATTCTTCATGTATCTTTGTAGTCCATCCCTGCCTTCACCCCCACCTGCAGGCAACCACTGATCTTCTTTTTTTCATCAAAGATTACTTAGTGTTTTATGTTAGTAGCAGTAGTTTGCGTTGCATTTAGTATGCATTCTTTTGTGCTTGTCTTGTTTCTCTTAATGGAATGATTTTGAGATTCATCAATGTTGTCTTTTCCTTTTTGTCTTTGAGTAGTATTCCATTGTATGGATAGTTTATTCACTTATTTGTTGATTGACATTTGGGTGGTTTCCAGTTTTTGGCAATTGTGAATAAATATTTGGAAATAAGGCTACTATGAACATTCATTCAGACACAAGTATTGTGTGGACATATGTTTTCATTTTTCTTAGGTAAATACCATTGGATTCACCAGGTTATAAGGTGGGCACATATTTGAATTTTAGAAAAACTGCCAGAAATTTTCCAGTGTTGTTATATTATTTTACGTTCCCCCTAGTAATGTATGAGAATTCTAATTGTCCACACTCTTACCAGTACTTGTTATCAGTCTTTTTAATTTTAGCCATGCTTATAGTTGTATAATCATTATCTCACTGTGTTTTTAATCTGGCTACTAATATGGAACATCTTTCCATGTATCTATTGGCCATTAGAATATCTTTTTTTTCCCTTGGTGAGGTCACCCTCTTACCCAAGCATTTCCCCAGGGGCCTGAATACTACCCCACCCCCCGTCACAGCGGCTGCATACACTTGCCATTGGTGTGCTGTCATTGGTAGAGGCTGTGGTAAAGTTGTTTTGGGTACTGGAATGCCTGATGGGTCCTTCTTCAGGTTACAGTGGTAGCAGTGGTGGACTAAGCATGTCTATCCTATGTCCTGTAACAGTGTACACTGCCACCTGTATTGGTGGTTCCAGGTAGATCGATTCTTGGGCCTCTAGGTGGCTTTTTCAGATGCTGGTTATAGTATTGGTGTGCTGGATGGGATGGATGAGTGAGTTCTCAACCTCCTGGGAAAATCTTAGCTGTTTATTTGTCACCTTGGTCCATTCTTGGGGAGGGGGATGATGAGCGCCAGGTACCTATAGTAAGCCATCCTTCTGACATCTGCTTCAACTTTGTATTTCCCTTTTTACTCTTATAAGGCAGGAAAAATGAGAAAGGAAGAGGGATGATGAACTCTTACCAGTTCCACTTCTAATTCTTGAGAAAGGGCTCTACTTTGTCCATCTGGGTGAGGGGCCCGCCATTGGACTAAATGACTTTAATTAATGGGTGGCATCTGTACAAAGGAGTATTAATTGGACCAACTTATGTGAAATGCCCACACTGGACCACTCCCCTGGTTGGGGAAGGAGGAAGAGGTGGAGACAGGATTACCTTGTAAAAAAATAGTTGACAATATGAGGTGTCTCATCAATGGGAAGTCATTGATTAATAACGCAGAAATGCAATTTTCAAAATGTTAACATGATTTTTTCCCCTAATGATGATATCACTTGTAATTTCTATTTTCCATGAGTTTTGCCTAATTTTAGTTATGTTTAACTGATTGTCTATGCTATTGAATAAGACTATGTATAGAGATAGTGGCTTCCACTCTGAGCACATAACATTGGTTTCATTTATCTTTCTCTATATATGTTCTAGCTTCAAATAGTTCATATATGGATGGAAAGCGTATGACCCAAATCTCTTCAACACCTGTCTCAGAAGGTAACGTGCTTCATAATGTAGTGGCCAGCACTGAGGGGATAGATAGTTGAACTTTGTTAGAAACATAGCTGATGTCCTGGCTGGGTGCCTGCCTTGTGACTACTTGAAGAATATGGTGATCTGAGTGTTGTAGGATAAACAACTCTCTAATTGTTTGTTTGCAAACAAGTCATGCTCTTGCTTGTCTCTGAACCTTTGCCAAGTTGGAGTGGTGGAAAGAGAGTGGATTTAAATGCCTCTCAGATCTGTGTCTAAGTCCTACCTCTTTCTTCATGTATTAGGTTGGTGCAAAAGTAATTGCAGTTTTAGCATTGTTGAAATTTGCGTTTTACTATTGGAATACATTCTTAAATAAATGTGGTTATGTTATACATCATTTTAATGTGCATTTCTCATTTTATATTTTTTTTTTTGCTAATGACTTATTATTTGCTGTTTATTTTATATGTATTTTAGACTACGGAAATGATGTTAGACAAAAAGCAGATTCAAGTGATATTCTTATTTGAGTTCAAAATGGTGACATGAGGTCGGGCTCGTAAAGCAGCAGAGACAACTCACAACATCGACAATGCATTTGGCCTAGGAACTGCTAACAAATGTACAGTGCAGTGATGGTTCAAGAAGTTTTGCAAACGAGACGAGACCCTTGAAGATAAAGAGCACAGTGGCTGGCCATCGGAAGTTGACAACAACCAGTTCAGAGCAATCATCAAAGCTGATCCTCTTACAACTCCATGAGAAGTTGCCAAAGAACTCAAGGTCCACCATTCTATGGTTGTTTGGCATTTGAAGCAAATTGCAAAGGTAAAAAAGCAGCTCAATAAGTGGGTGCCTCATGAGCTGACTGAAAATCAAAAAAATTGTCATTTTGAAGTGTCATCTTCTTGTACACAACAATGAACCATTTCTCAATTGGATTGTGATGTTCAACAAAAAGTGGATTTTATATAATTAGGTACAACCAGCTCAGTGGTTGGACTGAGAAGAAGCTCCAAAGCACTTCCCAAAGCCAAACTTGCACCAAAAAAAGTTCCTGGTCACTGTTTGGTGGTCTGCTGCCGGTCTGATCCATTGCAGCTTTCTGAATCTTGGTGAAACCATTACAACTGACAAGTATGCTCCGCAAATTGATAAGATGCACTGAAAACTGCACAGCCTGCGCCAGCATTGGTCAACGGAAAGGGCCCAATGTTCTCCACTACAACACCCAACCGCACGTTACACAATCAACGCTTCAAAAGTTGAACAAGTTGGGCTGCGAAATTTTGCCTCATCCTCCACATTAACCTGACCTCTCGGCAACTGACTACCACTTCTTCAAGCATTTCGACAACATTTTGCAGGGAAAACACTTCCACAACCAGCAGGATGAAGAAAATGCTTTCCAAGAGTTTGACAAATCGCAAAGCATGGATTTTTATGCTACAGGAATAAACAAACTTACTTCTCGTTGGCAAAAATGTGTTATTGTGATGGTTCCTATTTTGATTAATAAGATGGTTTGAGTCCACTTATAATGATTTAAAATTCATGGTCTGAAACTGCAATTACTTTTGTACCAACATAAATAGTTATGTGATCATTATTTGACTATGAAATGCAAGGGCTTGAGTACCACAGAAGACAGGTGACATAAAAACAGGAGAGAAGAGATACTAACTGAAGAGTTTAGCAAACACATGCTTCATTCGCATAAAGTTTTTCCTGCCATAGCTGGTTCTGCTCATGTTATAGAATGCCATTACTGACACTCACCTCTGTTGCAGATGAGTTGTGACAGACTTTGGTCTACTAATCACCTCTCAGTAGATCCCTATCAGTCATGGACACATTGTAGGCTTATGGGAAATGTGAGGTTCTATGTTAGAAGATGCTTGTAGGATGCAGGGCTTAATTTTTACCTTGAAAGATGGACAGAAGAGGTCAGCTTCTATATTTACTCCTGTTAATTATATTGAACATACAAACACAAAATCTGGGGGCAAATTTCACAGCTAAACTATCTGGAAGCCTACATGTGACTAAAGTGGAAGGAAGGGAAATTCATCCAAAGGCTATGTTTGATAATGTCATGAATTTGCAATAAAATCTTTTTATGGGAAATGTCCAAAGGAAAAAAAATCTTGTTTTGTTTTTCAATTATGTACTAAATTACTTTTTCACCATAAATAAATATTTCTAAGCATCTCATCATTGGACATCATCATTTTTCATTTTTGTGCGATGGCTTACCTGGTGAAATTATAGATTTTTTAAAGATCTGTGGATGTCACTGACTTTGTGATTCTTTTAAATAAAAAATAAACTCTAAAATGTCCAGGTAGCTCCATCGGAATGCCATATTATTTACTTTTCATGAAAGAACCATATACTTTCCACATTTATGTTTGTCTGAAATAATAGCCACAGAGAAAGACATTTAGTTTTGATGTTACTGATATTTTTGTGCTTTTCACAACTTAAGATGAAACAACCAGATCACTAATTATTCCATGTTCTTTCCTGAAGTGCATGAATTGTATGATAAATATAATAGTCTCTTCCACCAAAAGATTAGATTTAGGACATTGTCTTTGTTGTTTAATTTAAAAGTCTTTCCTTATTTTGTTGTTTCTATATATTAAAACTCCTAAATTAATTTCAAAATACTTTATAATATATATTGTTTTCCTCATAATGCATAATACAAGAGAAAATTTGTCAATCTCTGAATTGGGTTTAATATACTATTTATATTGTGTGAATGTTAATTTCTTATGTAAGTGTAATATTTCTGGAATATTATCACCAGCCAGATTAGTATCTAGTACAACTTCATGTAATATGCTGTGGATAAATTTAACACATGAAGTTGTTTATCAAGATTTTCTTTTATCGTTCTCCTTTTGTGTGTGTGTGTCCAGTTTACACGTCACTGTCTGTAGTGATAGATACCAACACTGTGCTCCACTGCCCTCGTACATTGACGAGAGCGCTGCTAACAACATGGGAAGTAATCCTCAGGGACAAGCCTTCCTGCAAAAAAGCTTACAGGAGCGACACAAATGAGATGAAGGAAACCAACTGTACTGATGACAGAATAACCTGGGCCTCCAGACCCAGTCAGAATCCTGACCTTCAAATTGCTCCAGTGGCCATTGCTCACGATGGGTATTACAGGTGTGTGATGGCGACACCTGATGGGAATCTCAATCATGAGTATCACCTCCAAGTGTTAGGTAAGGAGGGTCATATGCTGTGGTATTTCACGTCACCAGATTTGTGACTGAAATGAATGTCTCTCTAAATTCCATATCCCTTATGTTAAGACTGAAGCATTTTCCCTTACATCTCTGCAGTTCCCCCTGAAGCTACCCTGTTTCTAAGCAGGAATAGAACTGCGGTGTGCAAGGCAGTAGCGGGGAAGCCAGCTGCACAGATCTCCTGGAGCCCAGAAGGGGATGATTGTGTCACTGAGCAAGAACATTGGGGCAATGACACACTGACTGTCCAGAGTACATGCTCCTGGGAGGTCCCCGATGTGACAAATGTGACCTGCTCTGTCTCCCATTTGACTGGCAACAGGAGTCTGTTCATAGAGCTGCTTCCTGGTTAGTAAATCTTCCAGTTTTCTGTTTGAGTTTTTTCATTCTTTCTGAGGAGTTACAAAGAAAACAGAATATGCAGGGAATTTTGTTCAGGGATGTTTTCTCTAGCCTCCACTTTATCTCCCTTTTCCCCACAATAAAGAGATATGTTTAAAAGAAAAATACAGCAATTTATTATAAAAAGCCTTATTTTAGAATGGTTAATCTTAATGTTCACTTCTATACTGGCAGTTAAATTGGCGTGAACAATATACTTTAAAAAGAATACTTAGGTTTAGCTGAAAGGTAAAGTGTAATTTGAAACAAATACTTAAGGTTTTATTGGAAGGATAAAGTCACTTGTACATGGCCTTCATGAATTTTTAGTCTGGTAGACTTTTCCCTTCCAGGCTCCTTCTTCTGGAATTTCTTAACTTTTAATAACATCTATGATTCAGTTAATCACTTTTTTCATTCTTCATTTTCTACCTTGATCCTACTTTCATTTTTTTAGTGTTTTAAAAAAAAAATTAAAGACTAATTTAATCAACATACATATAGTTTAAAATCAAATTGTTTTATCGGGCTCAATGAAAATTATCAGCTCTCCCCTGCCTTTTCCACCCTACTGCTCTGCATTCATTCAACTCCCTACAGGCAGGTACTATCCAATTTACCAGCGTTTGTGTAGTAATTAACTCTATTTTTTTAAAAAAACATGGTCATGTTATTATTTCTTACTGTATCAAATTTAGACATTATGTATCCACTTCTTCTTATGGTAGATGTGGATTTACAATTACCATGTTCCTTAACCTAGTTCTTTATATACAGTGACATAGCAATTTTTTATTAAATGGCCAGTGTTCACATTAATTTGAGTATGTAAGTATTATGAAGTGCCGAATCAAGAAATAAACCCATGCTTTCTCTTTTGAATAATTTTTCGTTTTTCTTGGACTTCATAATTCTTTTACTTTTTTTGAATCCTTAAAAATGTATGTACCTTTTGTGAGTTGTCACCAAGCTCCCTCACAAAGCTAGAGAAGCCCTTACTAATACTTTCCACACAGTCAGGTTTATTGTGTAATATGTCACTTCCGTTTTTTTTCTTGAAGTCATCCCTTTTAGAGCTTTTCCACGCTCTGGGTCTAATCTGTCCTGGTTGGTCTCTAGAGATGCTTAGCAGCGATTATCCTGGATGTTCTTTTTGCCTCAGTCCTCTGCTTGGTTCTGTGCCTGTGTAATCTGAGTTTCTTCTGCCTTGTAGTCATTTGTGTGTTCAACCTGTTTCTTTCATAAATGAGACTTTTCTTAAGTCTTTGTTAATCCTTGGCTAATGTATTCTTGTCAAAGTGAGCACTAAGGAGCTGACTGGAAGCTCTACCATCTGATCTTGGGGCTTGTGAACTAGTTAGCTTCAATACAGTGAAAAACAGGTACATGATTTTTTTATATAAATTGGGAATTTGTTATGTATCTAAAGGCCTTTTCCCTGGAACTGTTCAGGGTCAGTAGAAAATAACTCACCAATCTGTTGTCTTGGAGAGATAAGCCTGACTATCATTGTGCTGGAAGAGAGGAGAGTGTGTGTGTGTGTGTTTGTGTGTGCAAGTGTGCATGTGAGCATCCCACTGTTGAGAACCCAGACTTCCCTTTAATACCTCTCTTCAGTCTTACACTTCATCCTGACCCCCCATGATGTCTGGGTGCTTGACTCTGGAGTCTCTCCAGTTCATCTTCTCTAGGTCAATCTCCCTTGTTTCTGCTGGTTGGGGAAAGTGTGCTGCACAGAGTCGGGCAGCGCACTTGGCAACCTGCCTGTTCTCAAGACAAACTTTCAAAGAAGCTCCTGACCTTTAGTCCCACACTTCCGCCCTACCCCACACACCCCTTTATCTGTATTTGATGCTTCCTACTCTAGAGTCTTTCTGGAGTTTTGTTGCACTGAAACTTTGACTTATTCCACTGTGTAAATCATTTGCCATTCTTTTGTTCATTTTTCTGTTAAGAACAGGTTGAAATCTTTGATCTGCTCTTGTCTTCGTCCCTGTTATGTTTGTCTTTGCAGGTCTACCCTTTAAAAAACTTCTTTACTACACTTTAGTAAGTTATAAAAAGGGAGAAGAGGAAACTCATGTGTTGAAACAACCATTTTCCAATATCCGTTTTTTAAGTGATATTTATTTCTTTAAAAAAGTTTAGCAATATTTACTGATAAGATATTTACTAATAATTGTTCCTTCGTTATGCATGAAATCCCACCATCCAGTGTTAAAATATGGTGTCATATTTAGAAGCTATTACTTGAAGGGGTCTTCTTGTCCCAACTCCAATGTAGGGCAGGATCTGTCTTCCTTGAATGATGGATCTCCATACTACCCCTCCAATGAGAGAGCTCATTAGTTTGAGTTTCCAAAAGTGTTGCTGTTTTTAACAGTACTGTTTTTAACAGTAAAGCCAAACTTTATTTTTCCAATAAAATACTGAGAAAGCCAATATTTAAAAACATCCACCATGCATGGAAGATGAAAAAACCAGGTGCCAGCTTGCTCAGCCTGTACCTCACCTCCTTCTCCTGCCCTTGAGCCACACTCACAGAACACCAGGAGCAAGTTTTGAACCCCTGCCTCTCAGAGCTGGCAATGGCTTTATTGACTTGTGTGTTTGTCAGATAGGACTTTATACTGCTGCCAGCAGCTAATAAACAAAGTTCCTGCCGTGGATGCATTTTCCTTTCAATGCTCTGGCAGAAAGGTGACTTCAGGATTAGGGTTATTTTTCCAACTACCTTCCTTAAATTGCCCATTTATTTCTGAATGTTGGAGGTGAGACACACTATGTTCTTGCTGTAACAAGGAGATCTAAATTTCACATCTCTCCCATAGGAATGCACCATTCATGAATCCTTAAAACACCAAAATCCTGGCATAAAGTTGTGTCTTGCTGGAAACTCTGGAGTCTGAATTGATAAAGCAATTTTATTTTAGCAGTTCTTAAACTATTAATGGGTCTGAA